AAATACTTTTTATTCATTCACTCAAGTTCAAATACAATTTTTTAAACGTGTAGTGAATGACTCTTGATGTTAGTACCGCTTTTTCAAATATTAATTAATTAATTAAATTAAATTAATGAATAAATAGCATTAAACAAAAATAATAATACAACGGGATATATAGAAAGGAAAACCACTCGTTGTGTCCTTGTAGCGCAATGGATAGTGCATTGGACTTCTAATCCAGTGGTCGTGGGTTTAAATCTCACCTGGGATGGCCAAATTTCTGAGAATGTGATTTCTTTTTATTATATTGTTTTATTAGAAATAATTAAATTTAATTCATGAATAAATAGTAACAAACAAAAAAAAAAGTCCAAAACCATACATAGAAAGGAAAATGGGTAATTGCAAGGAAAATCGCTTTCTCTTTTGTCATTTAATATTGTGATTCTGACATACGTATATACAGAATATGTTAATGGGCTTACAGAGGAAATATTTGTTAGTATAATTAATGATAGAAAAATAATCAGGTTGGGAAGAAAGTATAAGAATTGTCAACAAAGAAACCCCGATTGAATTAGGAAAGGTTAAATTGTGGAAACTGTTGCTATAATAGCCGTAATATTGAAAACGCGCTCGCGAATCTAGCTTAAAAAAATATTGATGTGGTTAAAACTGAAGAAGTTAAATTTTAATTTTGATCTTAATAGTGTAGATATTAGTTTATGTTTGAGTTGATTTGAAAGATAAAAGAGTTTTTTTTTTAAATTTCGGGGCACAAAATTTATTGTATATGTAATTCATTTTCTCTCGAGTGACATAGTTAAATTTAAAGCTAGAGACACAGATGAAAAGATTCATGATTTTCTTTATGCTTTTCAATGTTTTTGAAAAGATTTAAGTCTACACGGTACCCTTTTACAAAAAATTTTTTTGGAGAGAGTTACAGTAAAAATAATTGATGTTTTATATCTAGATTATATTATTAAGCTTATTCTGTAAGTAAAAAGTCAGTTTGACTAGCCATTATTTTACAATTTTAAAAAATTAGGAATTTTTGAAGTTTTTTCAAACTTTTATAAAATACTCAATTTTTAAAATTTTTTAGTCATTTTAAGATATTTATGTTTCTTAGGTTATTGCAAACAAAATTTAGTATGGATTTGAAAGTCTGTTAGCTTGTTGATTTTTAATAATTATTTTTCTAGAAAAACCTGGAAAAAACACGAAAATTTTTAAAGTATCAACTTTAGCATTTCTTAGAAAAATAACTACAGATCTCAGCCCTAGATCCATACTAACTTTTATAGAACATACGTTTGGGAGTATATGCAAAAAAATTCAAGGTTCTATCTTAAACAGTAAAAAGCCTTAGGTATTAGAAAACACTTATACCTCCAAAATTGAAAGTCTGAGAAAAATGCATTTAAAGTTTGTAAAGTCATAAAACAAAAACTTATAATGCCTGTAAAGCTCTAATCTTTAATATGTTATTTTCAAATCTATGTGTTCTGCATTTAAACACTATTTTAGTTAAATATGACTGAAAATAATATTTTTAATTCTAAATATATTTTTGCATAATATTGATAGCATTTGCTAAGACGTCAGTTTATTCAGCTTTATCTTAACCTAATATTTTCACAAAAGTTTTGAAGCACAAAAAGCATTAATGTACAAAATAATAATGATACTAAATTAAGCTAAAAATAGTCATGCTTGTGCTCATAAAATTTAATTTTTTTAAGTTTTAAATTGGGCGGTTTAGGAAGTTTTAGCTCTTGTCGTACGACTTTAAAATACTAAAATATAGTACTACAATACGTTTAGTATAATGTAGTTTGGTACATCAAGGAAATATTCAGTTATATCTGCAACATTTGAATTCAGAATACTTGTATTCGGAAGGCTTGCAGAATCAGCAGAGGACTGATTTTTAGATACATCATTTTCAGTAGTATTTCATCTTTTCGAAATATTGTTTCTCACAGCAACCTGAGAACGTATTTACCATGGCATTTTCTCAATAGGAAAAAATTAATGATAAAGTTTTTAAGTAATATAAACTATTTTTAAAGTATTAAAATTGGTCATGAAAAATTAATCTTAATTAATTAATTATGAGAACTCAAAAAACTCAAATTATAATCAAGCAGAAATTATTTTATCAATGAATATTGGAATTAATAACCATTTCAAACTAAAAGGTCAAAAGTATTTTTAATTAATTCAATTTAAGATTGGAAAAATGCTTTAAAATGAAACCGAAACCAAAATCATAGCTCATAAAACTTCAAATATCTTAAGAACTAATTTGCTAACAGATCTGAAATTTCGTGGCAAGCTTCTCAATGATGTGGGTCAGGTCACCACAAAAAATGTATATATAAAAAAATTTCGTTAAAAATGAAATTTTTAGGGTACTATGTAGTCTTAAACTGGTTATATAAAAATACTTCGACAACGTTTTTCACAACATAGTAAAAATAAGGGTAATGGTCTATTATTTTAAACTGAGAAAAGTCTTTGAAAGTTGCGTATAGAAATTGAACATTGCAGTGTTTCAACAATTCTAGATACAAAAGGATCGATACTAAAAAAAAAGAACATCTCCGAAATAAAAGAGGTGGCGCACTAACCCCCTGTTTTGAACATGTTGCTGTGATGTTCGTAGGGAGGGGAGGGGTTTGATGGAAGGCGTGGAGGGGGACGTTTGTGTTCCCACCCGTCTCACTCGCAAACATGCTGTGGTCAAGGCAGCAGCCCGTTTATGCCGTGGAGGCGTACTTCTCTTACGGCTAGTGGTGATTACAGTGCGTACCTTTCGTCGTCACTTCAATATTCCTCCAGGAGGTTGTGTTCCTGATCGGAAATGTGTTTTAAAGTGGATTCCGAGCAACGAGGAATGGCTCCAAAGAAAGGGAAGATTCTTCGAAGACCTTTAGAACACCTGAAATTGTAGAACGAGTTTGTGTGTCAATTCAGACTGGTATGTGACAATGATCTAACAGTTCTTCTTACCCGCTCACCAAGAAAAGGGATCTTGACAACATGTGGTTACAACAAGATGGGTTCCCCTCCAGGGTTTCCATGGGTATTTTGAGAACAGCCTTCCTCGAATGACTGGTCTCCCTGCACGAGGACGTAAACTTTTCTGCCTGCTTTTCTGATTCATCTCTTCCTGATTACTTCCTTACAGGCTATGTCAAGTTCGTTGTTTACAAAAGTCGCTCCATGACCCTGAAAGACCTACGGAACAACATTCGAGCTCAAATTGACAATATTCTTGTCGATATGCTTGAAAAAGGGATTCAAAGTTTTCGAAGTTGACTTCATCAGTGTATTGGCAATGGAGGGTGATATTTAACAGACATTACGTTTAAAACTGTGTAAATTCAAAATTCCAATGTTGTGTGTTTGGCGGAAAATTACAATAAAATCGAATAAAACATGTAGTGAGTTTTAATGCGTTTTTAAAACAGGAAGTTCCCCCTGCACACCCTCTATATAGAACGTTTACTTGATTGGAAGGATTACTGGCGTCATGATTGAATGAACAGACTAAATAGAGGTCTATGAAAAAGTTACAGGCACGAAAAACGCATCATATGATTTTAGGCAAAAGAAACATCTAAGAGGTACACGCAATTCAGAATTCAAAATAATTTGAAGTTCGTAAGAAATTTTATCCAAGAAATGGCAAATTTGAATTCAAAGAAGGTAACCCAACTACTCGTTATGAAAATCCATATTTTGTTAAAGAAAAATTTACGAAATCCGAAAACAGAAATTGAAACATAACAGCTTGAGATATTGCAATGTTGTATTCATGTTCCCCACAGCTACGCCATTCATGAATTTTGGAAATCTATTTTAATGGAATACCATGGTGGACATTTGAGCAAGCCATAAATCTGCAGGAAAAAATTATTTTTCCTTCAAAAACAAGGACTGAAAATTGAAGCAAATTTATTTGATATATACCTTGCTGATGGTCATCAGGAAATTATTAAGTTTCACACCGATAGTCTAAATATAAACTTGAAAAGAAGGCGATTCTCAAAGCCACCCTTATCTTTGTACTATCTTAGGAGTTGATTTCGTACAAGATTCTAGAATCCCGTTTGACATTCAAAAGCAATGCTAGTGCTTTAATGATAATCGTTGGAAAATTTTAGATGTTCAAAAGATCCCTTTCATCCTGTTCTCTCTTGCAGCCAGTGAAGGAGAACTGTTTTATTTAATGAAAATATTTAATTTAACTTTAATAAACCGTTAAAAGGAATTCAATAAAATATTAAGAAACTTTAAATACATGGTTTGTCCTGAGTAAGAACCCCTCCTTTGATAATGTACTATATTAATACCGTCAATAGCAAACTTATGCTAAACAACCGTGCTGTTTATTACGCAACAAAAAATAACCTCAGAAAAATGGAACAAGTTGATATTTCTCATGATCTCTATAGTAATGCGAACAACCACAATTTCATTCCGGAAATAATCCCTTTTCAAAACTGTATGTAAAACTTTAGTAGAGTAAAAATAGACTTGATTGAAAAATAGTAAAAATATACCTCTAGACAGAAAACGCACGGGAAAATTTAAATTTAAATCTGGCAATCTAATTATATTGTGTTACAATTAGTTAACAAGACTCAATTGAAGCGAACAGCAAAATGTATATCTTGTCGAGTTGGTGCATACATAATATTGAACCAACGTGTTTGAACTTCTTGTACTATAACATGTTTCGAATCACTATCCCCTTAGATTTTCAGCGCGTTTCTATGTAATCTGCCTATAAGACAGACTCCAGACTTGATTCCCCAGCGTAGAGGTGGACGAACAATGAAAGACAGTGGTATGAGTAAGTGTTCCCGTCATGTTTCAGACCAAGTGTGACCAACCCGAATGAACTTGCGGACTGCTTCTGAAAAACATTATAATCCCGGGGGCAACATACAATAATGCGTATCTTTGAAATAGATATTTGGACCTATTACAATCAATTATTGGAGTGAAAATTTAAAACAGAATATACTATTATTGTTTTTCATGTATACAAACATAGATAATATAAAAAAAATGCAACAATAAAACAATGTTGATTTGTTTAATTAGTGAGATATTTGTTTCTCAATTCTTTCGCTTCGTTTTTGCAAGTCGATCTCAATGCGTGTATTTGCACATCGTAAATGATGTTGCATGTTTTCGTCCGTAAAGTTTGAGCTCGAGTTATGTTCGATAAATTTCATGTTTTATTTCAGA